TGTGGCTTCTTTCTCACTGGATCACTCCTATTACTGACATTCATATCTGGGATGTGACTTCTAACGGGTCTGAATATGTCTGCATTAGGGTTTAGCTGCGGGCTCTGTAAGGGGCTTGCCATTGTCTGGGGTTGCTTAAGTCGATGGTAATGTATCCTCCTTGTGTAACAGACAATAAATCGTTCTTTAACGTATCTAATTCGCTTTTAAATTTACTAATGTTTTCCATTTGTACCTCTTGCCATTGTTGTTGATTTTCCTGTAGTTGCTGCTGACTTTCTTGTCACTGTTGTTGGCTTTCCTGTAGTTGCTGCTGACTTTCTTCCTGTTTCCTTTCTTGTTCCAGTTGCCACTGCTGTAATTTTTCTTCTTGTTTCTTTTCTTTTTCCTCCAACCACTGCTGTAATCTCACTTGTTTATTTTGCTGTTCGAGCTGCCATTGTTGTAGGTTTTCTTGTAACTGCTGTTGTCTTTCTTCTTCTTTCTTTTCTTTTTCCTCCAACCACTGCTGTAATTTCTCTTCTCGTTCTTCTTGTTTCTTTTCTTTTTCCTCCAACAACTGCTGTTATCTCTCTTCTTGTTTATTTTATTTTCCTCCAAAAACTGCTGTAATCTCTCTATTTGTTTATTTTCTTGTTCTTCTTGTTTCTTTTGCTGTTCTTGTATTGCTGCCATTAAGTCTGCTATGCTGTAGTTTGATTTGCCGGTTCTCGTTTCCATTTTTTTTGTCCCACTCTCTGACACCAAATTGTTACGTCTCCGTTTGTTAATTAACTTTCCGTAACTTCGTTCCGACGAAAGTTTTAGCGACACAAGTCCTTACTTAATAAAACTGGTTTATTCTTTCTGAATGTAACTTTACCGATAAACTTATTTTCAACAGTCGCTCTTTTACAAACGTTTTAACGAACGTTAACTTCAACAATACTTTCTCACTGCAGATCAATTACTCACTACCTACACACACATATTATTGATCCCGTCACGTTGTGACCATCTTATATATACCAGACTACCCTATATCTAGTAATCTCCCGACTATTCCCGAAGGTTCTAGAGGTGGCGTGACACTAGTCACGTGACCTCGCTGACGGAACAAAATGTATGAAACAATATTATATACCCGTTATAAAACAAAATATTTGAATTTTAAAGCGCTAACGTTGAAACAACTATATTACAGAACAAATGCAAAGCCACTACTTATGACCCATAATATTCCATATTCTATTTTCAACTATTCTGTATTCCATTTTCGACCTTGACATTCCACAATTCAAACAGTCCTCCCACAGTTATTTTGTCTAAATACTTAAAGTTTAGAACACCTAAGTCACGAAGAATATTATCGTTTATGAATTATTGACTAATGCAGAAAATAATTTGTGCAATTATTTTAAAACTTACTCTTTCAGTATTTCTTATTAGTAGTAGTGATGTAAGATGAGATTATAGAGTTGTAAGAAAAAAATATAGTCAGATTTATTTATATTTTTCAAATATTCGTATGTAAACAAACTATACCCACACTTACTATAAGAGATGTGACATAAGCATTCTCAGAAGAAATTGAAATTCAGCATACTATTATGACAACGGAAGTCAAGTGACGTTGGGAGCATGCGTGGTAAATTTCTCGAATAATCGGGGAACTCCGCGAATGTTGGAGATGCCTCTTTGTTAGTATTGTTGCGTCAGCAGAGGTCACGTGACTAGTATCATGCCACGTCGCTCTCGAACATTCACGTCCTTTCTTTAAATCTAGGGATCCTTCTAGATATAGTGTAGTCTTGTATATATCAAACGGTCACAAATTTACGGCAACAGTGTGTGTAATTAAATGAGTGAGAATATTGTTTAGCACTTGAGACGTTCGTGGTGAATTATAGCGTTTGTTATAGCGCGACTGTTGAAAATAAGTGTATCGGAAAGTTGTATTCAGAAAGAATAAACCAGTTTTATTTAAGAAAGGACTTGTATCGGTAAAGTTTCTTCGGTAAGAATTCTTACAGAAAACTAACTAAC